TAGAATCTCTACATATTGCTTAGACATCTAGATAAAATTTTCAATGCTTCATTTATTATAGATACCATATTTAGCAATTATTTAGATACATGTAGCAACTACAAGTATTATTTATTCTAATATACTAAATATATAATTTTTAAAAATAAAAGAATTCATTCTAATTCTAGAATTCATATAAGATTTAGTAACTTAGCCTAATGAAGCCACATTGTTCAATTTCTTCTCTATATTAGCAATTTGAGCTTCTAAGGCTCTTTCTTTATTCAAAATATGTTACTTGTGTAGATGTAAAATAAAGCAATTATCTTCATTGTGGTTGCATTTATCACAAATAGTACACTTTAATTGCTTCTTTTTAGGTTTGTCTCTTATCTTAGCCATTTTTGCTTTTGACTTAGGCTTCTGTACATATAAGGATTTTTTTTTCTTATAATGGTTGGAATCTTTTTTATGTGACCACGTGTAATATATCCTCAACAATACATAATCCTTTCTAATTGAGATTTTGTTAAAATACTTATTACAGTTACATCTTTCTTATGCCTAAACACATTTGTCATTTAACCAACTTTGTTAGTAGCATCATATTGACAAAGGGGCCTATAACATTTATTAATTTCAAAAAATATTTTTACCAACATTGCTTTGCCATCATAGTTAAAAAATAATTCTTGATATAGTTAAATCCAAAAGTCTCTTATCAATCTTAAATAAAAAAAATTTAATAAGTTGGCCCTCAATAAACACATCTTTTAGCTCTATTTCAAATTGAGCCAAACAAGTATATATAATATAAAAAGTATCTTATTTTCCATATCAAAAGTCTTGAATGCATTATATATCATCACGTCCAAAATCTCCATACTCATTTTTTAAGTATTTAATAAATATTTGAAGAGGCTAAAATAATAGTGGCTCTTCTATAATAAACAAAGTTATCTTCATTACTTGAGCCATTTGTAATAAAGAAGATAGAGTATTATCTAATATTTTTTCTATTTTTTTTTCTTTGTCTTCGTTCAAAGATATCTCAACTTTTTCTTTCATTGGATCTTTATCCTTCATCTTAGGTATTAGACTTGAGATAGCACCTTCTTTAAGAACCAAAATAAGTTCTATTCTTGCCTCTTAATAATTCTCCACTTTCCACAACTCAAGTTAGTGCTCTTTATTCTATCTTTTATATGTTTGGAATACCTCATGCTCCAAATATTATGGTAATAGTTCAAAAGTACATCGCTCATTGAAAATGTAAGATCTTTGGTATTTTTTCTTCATCTAAATTTGAATCTTAAGCTTCCAAAATAGCAAAGAAATACCCTTATCTTTTCTTGAAAACCAATTGCTTACCAGATTGCATGAATCGTCTTCTATCTTATAAAACATGTCTATATCCAAGCCCATAAGCCTTCTAATAGTATCCAATACTAGAATAAGCTATAAAGCTTCATCAATATCCACCACTAGCCCACATTCTTTGCTATGGTTACTATCTAAGTAGTCTAGTGAAAGAGATTGATAATATTAACTCTTAGTATGCACCATAAAAATGACTATTTAGATACTTGGAACTATTTAAATGCTAAAATGGCAACATGTACATGCAACTACTATCAAGCATTACAATTCATCGATAATCATCTCCAAGTCATTACAAGTCCAACATATATACAAACAAAATGATCTTACTAGCCATCAATTCGACCTCATCCCTTTAATATTCTCATCAATATTAACTAGTTCAAATACAAAATAGGATTACCACAATAAACCTCCAATATTAATATCTCCAACTAAGAGAAGGTACCAAATATTAAATCTAGTAATCCATACTTGATCACCATTTCCAACAACATAGAAGTAAAAATCAAAAGTGAATCTAAGCAACCGACATTTGTTTCTGGTTGATGGTCACAAATTGCAAAACATGTCACAATAAACGACAATTGCAACAAAATGAAATGTATAGAAGTGAAAAAAAATCAAAAAATCACTTTAAAAGTAATAAGCATTTAATAAATGTCACTTCAATGTTCCAAATGATCTCCTCTAAAAACCAAGTATGCAAATGGATTCTTCAAGCTTCTTCTACATAAATTTGATTCAAAAATGGTCAAATTTGAACTCCATATGCTCTTGGAGTGTGATACTGAGGAGTTTTGGGCATATGTATTCACTTTTTTTTTTCCTTTTTTTCTTTTTTTTTTTTGTTAAGGCCTATGACTGTGCAATAGGTCTTTGTTCGTGCAGGTCTTATGATCGTGCGGTCTTATAACCGTGTTTGTCTTTCACTGTGCCAATCCCTAGACTGTTGTGGCCTATAATCACTTAAAAGGTCCCTTGACCATTCTGACGCAAAGAACCACAGAGATAGACGCCGCGCCCACCGCTCACTACCATGGATCCAAATTGTGTTTCTTCGCATAATTGTGCAGGGCATGGCATTGCAATCGTAGTACGCAACCTTGCACACACAAATTTAACACAAACGCAAATTCACACGCAAACAACAACCTCAGCTCCGCGACCTGATGCCTTCGTGCCGCATCCTACCACCGCAGAACCCAACAATTGTATCTGTGCGTCTACACGGCCCAATGTCTCAACTTGCCCAGTCTAACGCCGCAACCGCGCACTGCTCTTTGCAACCAATCTTTGCAATCCTCTTGTGCAACTGTTCTTCGCTCTCGTGCCGCTCAGTTCAAGCACTTTAGTACCCAACCCCGCCGTATCTCGCACGGGCGGCTGTTTCATGTATTGGGACCCCGCCGTATCTCGCACGGGCGGCTGTTTCATGTATTGGGACCCCGCCGTATCCCATATTGGCATCCAATACAACAGCAATTCAATACCGCAGGAGTACAGTATCAACAGTGCGATAGTACAACACAAACCCAAAAAACAGTTGAGGAGAGATATTTTATTTTTTGTTTTTTTCAATCGACTACACCACAAATTGAAGGGAAGGAAAAATCCTTGTGAAGTGAAAGATTATGAATATACACACAAGTAAGTCAAGCTACCTCTCACACCAAAAAGAAGAAATCCAAGAGTGCATGTGTAAAGAATACAGAAAATTCTAAAATTTTACTAAAATGGCTAAATCATCATAGCCAAGCAACCCTTACAACAAGTTTCTTCTCTTTCAAAATTACTCACAAGACTTGACTTGACAAGAATGTCAAATCAAGATTTTTTTTTTCGACCTAAGTATTTAGATCCTATTTGATATTAACAAAGTCAACCAACAAAATAATCTCAATGGATAAAAACCCATTAAACAAAACTAAACTACATATACCTGACATGATTTGGCACCCATTGCCACATCATGTGACTCTATCATTACATATTAGTTTAGATTATGATCATTCTAAACATATCTAAATGATTTGTACATACATTAACAACAACAATGTTGATAATATTTGTGCTTCCCATTTTCAAAAAGTACATAGTTGATGATAAATCTGAAAGCCAGGACATCCACATCACTACATTCAACACAAGTAATATAATTTGCTTAAAAATAAGTAAATAAATAAGTAAAAACTCTTCCTTTACTAGAAATATATATTAATGAAAACAAACAAAGGAACAAGGGATTGATGATTCTTATTATCTAATATCAAAATTGACTGCCAGTAGTAAAAATAACAGATTTCAACATCGCCAACTTTTAATCAATGCCGACTAAATCTGCGAAATTCACATGATATTCCTTAAAATTAAGAATTAAAAAAATATTAAAGTACAAAAATACAAAAAAATCACATTCTACTTTTTTCACCAAAAGAGCATCTCAGCACCCAATTCGTAAAGGAGCATGGCAAGCTGCTCTTTTGACTCAGCACTGTTGTAATCAATATGCAACCTGTAGCGTTCCTACAGTAGGAACGCAAATGAGCTCCCTCTTCTTCTACCTTTATTTTTGCTTTGTCTTTATTGCTACCAAAGGATGCCTGGACAAGTTAGATTTCCTGCTTGTTTTTTCTTGAGGAAGAGGCTTCATCATTGTTGGCAATGGAAGCTCTCCAATCATCTAAGGGTTTTGTTTTGCAAAGTGCTTCTTCATTGCTTTGGATGACTCATCGAAATTTTCTTCAGCCTCTACTAAACTACTAGCCCATGCTCCCTTTTTTATAAGGACTAGAATTCTTTTTGGAACTTTTTCAAAAAGAGTTTTATGATGATACAGTCATATATAAACCTGTCATCTCAATGCCAATCACAAAACAGAACCATTCACAATCAAATCCAAAGAAATGGCTACATTACTTTTTAGGTATAAAAAGTCAAACTAATGCTACCACCATAGTAAATTTCAACTTTGTGTTTATTCCTTTACCACTTGCGTGTAGTGGATCAAGAGCTGTAGCACTTATTAAGAATTCACCCAAAAACCAAACAGTTTGTATTTTAGAAAGCGGGAGATAGAAACATTGTATTCAAGTGGTGTGGTGTGAAAGCTCTAAAGCTCCAAAACATTGTCCTACCAACACATTGGTGTAGCCTTTACATACTTTTGCAACAATAGGTTCCTATTTTAAACTGGGTTCTGATGTGCTGTGACGACACAGTTATCAAAACTCACCCCTCAAAGATGAACGGCACTATCCCTTTTTAAACCCGCCTTAGCTGGAACTATTATCCGGTTTTGCTGGACAAGTCAACTTGCCTAATCTAGATAACAGCTATGATGTAGTATCTGTCTGCTAACTGGCCAACAATCAGATGTAGACGTATTGTCCATCTTGTGTGTGTTGCTCGCACTAGACCAAGAAACCACATCAATGCGCTTCAGGGAGTATCTGTGAAACAGTAGAAAATACTCTGTAACCAGATAGGAATGAGATTGCTTTTTGGCAATTGTTTCCTTTCATATGCTCATGATAGAATTTCTTACACTATTCACAACACTTTTACCACAAGGCCAGTGTTTCTGGGAAGTGGAGTACGTACATTCGTGGTCTTCAGATGTGCTGATGCTCTGCACATATTCCAATATATTTATATATACAAGAATTGAATTTTTAAAATTACACAATTTAGATGAAGAAGAATAATTGTTTTCATTTCATTTTTCGTGCTACACCCTACTTCGATACTAGCACAAAACGACTGCAGAAGCAGCTGCCCACTTCTTTTCTACCACAAAATCCAGTGATACGCAGTGGTGATTTAAGGTTGCAATCTGACTGGAGTAGTAACTAGTGTCCTAGATAATAATACAACCGTACTCCAGACTGTTGCCCTTGTTCAGTATTTCCAAATCTACTGAAACAGAGAGTCAGACTATGAAATAATTTTACGCTGTTGATCTACTCTCATTGTTGAGTAGAACAAAAAGTTCTCATGCCTGTAATGGAAGGCGATTTCCTCTAGTTCGAGAATACATGTATTTGTCTGTATATGTTTGTATGGTATATCGTACTGGCTACAAATATGTATATGGGTATGTAACAAGCAAAATGGGAGGCAATCACCAACCTCTAAAATCCATGACACGCTTACGGATCAGTGGTACATCAACGAGGCTGCTTCTTGGCCCAAGGGCTGAGTCACATGCATATGATTCTGCGTTCTGTGTGATTCTTCCTCCCAGGGCTGAAACGTTCGTCCTTCCTCCATGTGGCGCACAAACGGAACGAACAGTCTCCAGTTTTCACTGTGGAACAAGCTCTCACACATTCTTAAGAAGGTGAAAGCAGACATCGGCTCATACTCCTCCTGACAATCGCCTTTCTCGTTCATTTGCAATCTCGACTTGCGAACTATCTGTTCATGCGCTGAATTGTCGAACCTGGGAAGAGCGTTCTCACCAGCCATTGAAATTCCTGCCTTTCGTGTTGCCAATGCCACCTGTCTCACCAGACCTTCTGGGCTGCACAGTGCATGTGATGGTTGTTCGAAGTCTCGCATCTCGATGCATGTGAAATTCAGGGTAACCCCATACTTGGCGAACATCTGGGCAATGGGCGAATATCCATCCCTGGTCCGAGTGTTGTAGTATCCCGCCGTCAACTCAGCAGCATGACTTCTGGTGCCGTAGTGCCAATGGATACCAGCAACTTTGCCTGAAATGATAGCTCCAGTGCCCCTGAAAATGCCAGTAGCTTGTGACAAAATGCGTTCACCATGGGCCAGAAGCATCTCTGAATACCATTCCAAGAAAAACTGCCCATATTCTGAAGACCACGTGCCATCTTTCTTGAAGAATCCTGCTTCCTCGGGCCACTGGTTGTAACTGCCAGCATCGTGAGGACCGCTAAAACCCCATGCAGGCTTTCCAACCTTCTGAGCATTGGCTTTCAAGCTCGCAATCATGTATTTGTCGTAAGACTGAAACTCACCAATGCCTGGAAAACGCCACCTACCCTCACTCTCAGGGTATGAAGGGTAACGAAGTTCACCAGCGGGTCCCATTCCGCATTGGATTTCCTGCGACAAGTAAATCAACAGATTAGTGACGACGAATACTTAAGCTATTAAACACAAGAGTGATTACTTGTTTTAAAAACGATCACCCTCTCCCATCAATGAGGCTGTCACAAGCACTGCCATGGTAAGGATCAGGAACATACGACAATAAAATCTCCCAAAAAATCGTCGAAGTTGTCTCTGAAGCTCCTCATGAAATCCGCATAGCATTGAACCGGTGTCCTTCCCTTCAAAGCGGGCACGTTGTCAGCGCCAAGAGAGATGTATTCTGAGTTGCGCCTTCCAGCCTTATCGGTGTAGGCCAAGTCTGGATTCTTTCGTACCTCTTCCAACACCCATGGAGGCAGAGGAATACTGAGTTCGACAGAAAACGATTCATACTCGTAAGAAAGAATGACTGAATTATATGTATAAATAAGTAAATAAATAATTGAGAAAAAAACAGGAAAACAAAGTGTACACGCAAAATCCGGTATACATGATATAAAACACGCGCTCAAAGCTAGAAATATTTCGACGGGAATCATCTGAACAGGACTCCGTACTCACCACAGCGACGGAAGCACTAATAGAGACTTGATCTTAGATCGTAGACATGAAGAAACATCGTTATTGACAATACGACAAAGACACAGTTGTAAGCGTAACCGATACGTTGTTTAGACACTTACTTGCAACTGTCGCCAACGTTGCCACCACACTGGTGAAAGGACATCACAGCCTGAACCTTCAAACCATGCTTCCGCACCATATCAATTAACTCTTGATACGCAGACCAATTGTACTGCTGAGGGCCATCTTTCTCGACGATTCCCCACCAAACATCCATCATAACCCCCTCCACACCAGCCGATTTCAGAGCCAGCAAAGATGCGTCCAAGGCGCGACGTCTGTTCAGAGTGTTATTCATGCTTACGGTGTCCAAAGGGAGCATCACGAACACAGGGACGCCGCCACGAACACCTCTGCTTGTTGCCGTCTCGTGCATCAAATATTCACTCCACTCCTCCCCCGCATTCTCCCAATCAAGAAGAGATTTGTGCTTTGGAAACATAGTACTCATTTGAGAAAGATGGCCAACTTTGGGCTCGGACATAGAGTCTCCAGGAGTACTTGAGTGCTTCCTCCACCATTCCTCCGAGAATGGAGAAGCGGAGTTAGAAGAGGGATGCCCTACCGTTGACTGAGCAGCATGTCCATCGGAATGCTGTCCTCTAAGGTTTCGAAAAACAGTGACTCGGTTCTGTAGTCGCATACGCACCATTTCCGCCCTGCCACTAGAGGAAGCTTCAGAATGCGAAGTGTCCGCAAGGACATCGCGGCCTATGAAGGTACTCTTGAAGGAACAAGGCCGACAAATCGTAAACGCCATTTAACCCTTTATCAAAAAGCTACTAAAGCATTCACGACTCTAAATCAACAACACTCACAACCGAGTCTCACAAATCCTCTCCTTCACCACGCAGACTACCTCCGTAAGACGAAGATCCTCCTATCTACAAAGATTCTTCCACATTCCAATTCAAATATCTCTCACTGTCTCAACCTTCATGTCACCAACTTGTCCGCTTTTCTCGGCAGATATTTCCCACACAACACAATCTTATGCTCCCAACTCAAGGCAAATCGCATCAATTGTACTAATTTTCTTCGAAACACTAGTTGTACTCGCTCCGCAGACTGCACACACTTGATCACTCTCAAACCGAGTGCTGTCCCGTCCGCCAAAAAAGCTCCTGAAACCGAAACCGAAACCCTTTCAACACTCCAACCTCAACACTTGACGTCCCAAGTGCGACGCTCAAAGGAGGAAGGGAGAGAGAGAGAGAGAGAGGAGGGGAGGGGGAGGGCAGAGAATGAGAGAGTCGAAACTAAAACGTCGGAGGTCCTATAAATGTTGCGCAGCGGATATTTATCCGCAAGCTTGGCTGAGAACAACGACGATAACAGGGGAAAAGAAAAACCACAGCAAAGATGGTCAAATTCTCGTGTTGTAGAGGAACTTTTCATTGATCTGTTTTCACTTGGTGGCCGCCAACAACATGGCCCCCCCTGTTACGATAAAGGACCCTGACCACCGTAGACTACTCCCCCTGCAACATAAATGAATACATGGGTATGTGGATGGATGAAACTATTGAAGCATGTGCATGTGTTGGCATGCCTGCATGCGCTCTGGGCGAGCTTGTCGCTGGGCTGGGCCGGGCTGGGGCTGGGCCAAGCCTTGAGGGGCGTGCTGGCCCTTACCCGGCCCGGTCCACCACACTGACCACGGTTAGTAGCGTATTGCAGATTCAAATTCTGTCGATTGGACTCTGGGTTCACCGCGTAGTCATTTACATCCTCGCCTCGTTTCTAGACTCAGTTTCCATCCTTCCGCTTTCATCCTTCCTCTTTCATCCTTCTGATGAGCTTCCCTTCATGCTGAACAAATGACCTAAACTGATTTCAAACGACGAGCCTGGTCCTACAAACGTGATTAAATTGCTTTTTATAAATTTTGTATATTAAAAAATCAAGTGAAAAGTTAAACTAGAATAACAACAATATAAAACACTTGTTCTGAGTGGTTACTTGTCATATTGAAAACAGTTGTTGTTGTTGTTCACTATTGAAATATCAGGAATGTATGATTCTCAGTATTTTTTTGCAACACTTACCTTTCCACCAAAACATGAACATACCTTTGTGATTCTATTGTATATGATGTGTAGAATTGATCACACCCAGTGCAGAAAGGAACTTAAGTTAAGAACTATGTATCATTCTGAAGTTAAGCTCCTAATGTTGACAAATATCACTTGTAAATCTGATTCCTACTATTTTGAAGCCAAAAGTTCCGTCTTGCCAACATTCTACTACATAAAATGGAATGGTGTGTCCATACTAGAGAGATGGTAGATTGTGGTTATATACAATGTACAAACATACAAGATATCCAATGCCATACTTTGAACCCACTTTTTTCTATACAAAAAATAGTGGGTTTGCATGTGCACCAGATATTCCTGCAGCCATCTTTGGTTTGCCCCATTCAAGTTGCCACTCTAACAATGTCCTTGCCCATGAAAATTCCATTAGCAAGGGTAATTTAAATGATTAAAATGACATAGTTAGCTACATACATGAATTCACTACATGTGGTGGGTGGACTGGGCAGCTTCAAATTTTGATGACGTCATATGAGTTCAAGAATCTGAGATAAAAATCTAGTTGTCCCCCCTGCACATATCCACAACATGGCCCTTTGAAGAGACCAAATAATAAAATAGTGTCTTTGTGGAGCTTTTGGAGCCTGTGGTTATTTTTTTTTAGTTGGGTGCATTTTTAATACCTCTACATACTTTTATTCTTTTGAGAATGCTTTAGGTTTTTGTTCAGCCTTAGGAACAATCATTTTTAATTAACATTTACTTTTTTAAAAAAAAAAAGATAAAGTCTTTGAGTTGTTTTCAGAGAGAGTGTGTGCTGTATCATGCATGCCCACAAAACCTAATCTTTGGCTTTCAACAACCTTGAAATTCCAATTATAAGTACAAATTGACTTTGTGAAGTGTTTCGGCTTGAATGGAAGATAACAACAATAGAAACAATTCTTTATTAAAAAATCACAGCAAAAATTTACAAATTAAATAATGGTGTGTGTCACTCCCATTTTTTTATTTTTTATTTTTTTTGTCTGGTGGAGAAGAAAATGAGTTATTGTGAACTTCTTTCCAAACTTATGCATCACAAACTTACATCAATATTGTGAATGAGTTGTTGCACACACGTGTTGATTACTTCATACACAACATATGCATTATCAAATATACAACCGTTTTGATATCTCGAAGAATATATATTTATGGACATTGTAAACAACCCAAACTCTCGAATAATTCTTTGAAGTGCTTCCTACTTAGAACGCAGGAGAAAAAGGAGAAGAAAAAATAGGGTTTTGTAAGAGTTTACGGTGCGATTCTAACTCCACTAAGGCCAGATAAACAACTTGTTCGCTGTCCAGGTGCGGAAGCCATCTGTCGAAGGTTGTTCACATATTCGGTAGAATATTCTCCAATCACTTTACCCTCAGATTTAAAAACGGCGCGGTCACTGGGTTCCGATCAAGTTGAATCAGATGCATTCGGGAAAACCACTCACCGAGCGATTGCGGTTGCACAGTGTTCGGAGGGTCGATCATGTGCTTACTGGTCCCTCAGCGACAGTGTATGCCCTAAGGTTCATCATCAGAGCCGGAATCAGTAAACAGTTCCACACTCTTCGTGCAGAGATTGATCCCCCTGGCTCCGCGACTGAATGCTTCACACACCCGGGATGCCCTCGTCATGCCGGCGAGGTTCATTGGTTGTTTAACCCAACCAGTCAGCAGCATGCACTGTCCACTGGACTCCAGCGAGGGTCACAATTTCAAAACCCTGGAGGTTCCTCTCGGCAAAATCACCTTGCCTTCGTGCAGCTTCCAGCACGTCAAGCTCTGATTATCTTCCATGGTTCCACCGTGACTCAAGCTGCATGTAATGCTGGACCTGCTCCATCCGCTGCATCAACTGCGGATCGGAGGTCCTAGATGGTGAGCGACATCGCGCAGATCCCGCTCAGTGTGCGGCGCTTCCAGAGACCACTGTCCGCACCCTCTGCTGTGAAGATTCGTGTTCAGAATTCAGCCGTGCTTTCGATCAGGTTGTACGTGATTTGTGCTCAGACATCCGGGACGGTTTTTGTGGAGTTTCGGTCGTTCATCCTGGATATGTGGATCTATCTTCTTGGTCTGGAAACGGGTTAGCGGGAGGCTACTTCGCGCCTCGTGCTCTCCACTCGTAAAACTGCAATCCTTGTACTCATCACTGCCTTTGCATCGCTCCGCTCCGACATAGCATGTCAGAGTGCTCGGCTCTTGGAATAATGAGAATGGTAAAAATTAACGGATATTTTTGAGACAATCCTGAAAAACAGATTTATTAGTTTAAAAATCAAATACAAATATTTCCAGGTTTTATTTTATTTTATTTTTAATTAAAGCATAATTTGAAACTCTGTTATTGTCATCAAGTGTCAAATACATTTATTTAACTTACTTTTGGATATGGATCATTTCACAATGTCGTTTGACTCCATCGAGATTATTTAAGTCTAATAATAGTTGGTTATTTTTATTGTACTTTAGGAAAAACAAAAAGACTCTGAATTGCTGTGCAAAGTTCACATTCAGTTATCTTTGGAATATTTGTATGATTTGATTATTACATACACTATATGATTTTGCGTAACTCCTGTCTCTTTTAAGATCAGTGAAATAATACATAAAATTACATTACAAAATGTATTTCATTATATGTAATGCAAACATTACTCTTTGCGGCTAGCTTGTCAAAAAACTTCAGTTTGTTGAATAATGTGATTTAAAAAAAGGAAAAGTATACAAAAGTATGATGTGACAAAATCAAGATGATGCATACACAAAACGATTGCAGGATTGAGCAATGCAGTACAACTTTAAAGTTTTAAATACAGTTTAACACAGTAAGAAAATAAAGATGTAGAAAAAGTGAAAAAGGTACTGAATACTTCAGTTGTCTAATCAGTTGATGGAGTAATTTGAGATTATGATTTGTGATGTTTGGTAATTCTTGATGGAGGTACATTTAAGAATTTGGAAAATAAAATTAGGTATAAAAAAACCCTTTGATTGTCATGTTCAAGAACAGCAGCTTGTGGAAATTTTCGCTTTAAATTAGGCTTCAGTAGACCATGTTTAAAATTTATTCAAATTTGCATATGTGAATGCAACAAAATCACATAACTAAACAGAACAAGATGTTATATAATGATAGACAGTTCATTAAGTTTTTTTTAATCAAATACTCGTTTATTTAATGTTGGACAACCATAATGATTACGACCAGTCATTTACTGAATATATTTGTTAACTTTTTACAATGTTCGCATTCAGCAAATGACGCCCAAACATAGTGGATATTATTTCTCAATTCAGTAGTTCCATTTTGAATTAAGTATAAGTTGCATTACAGTATCAGCTTACTTAGCTTGTAGAGTCAATACTACTAATAACAACAATGATATTAACAATGGCATGAAATTTACTCATAGGCAAAATACTACTATTTAATCCACACCATGAAAATCATCATCGATACAATTGTCCCAGTTTTTTCATCACTTTTTGAATTGATACTATTGTTAGCATATATTAGCCAGGTTTGATATGGGACAAGTTGTACAATTTAATTTGAAAAATGAAAAGAAACTCCGCAATTACTTCCATTCATCTTTAAAATTCATCTTTAATTATCAATGGACAACCTCCTTCAAAACCCCATATGTAAATATATATATATATATATATATATATATGTATTCAAGTGGAAACCCATGTTAGTGGACACAAAAAAGTTGTTTACAAATAGTAGACTAGAGGTCTTTTTGAAGGGCATGCAAGGCTTTCTGTTGGTTAACGATTTCTTTGATTTTTGCCAATGAGAAGACTTCTTTATCTCTCTGTCGTATACCTAGGCTTCCTTATCATATAGATATATTTGTGTACGTGTATGTATGGATGAATGTTTGTTTGATTTTTCTTATCAATTTTACTTTTGTTCCGCTTAAGATTAGAGTTGGCTGAAGGACCAGCAGGGGCGTCGACTGCCCAATCATACTACCCAGGAATCGCGTCCCCTGCACAGCACCGCATGCCCGCGGGGTACCAGAAACCAGGCACGGGAATAGAGGTGTATTCGAAATAATCTTCCTTATCCACAGCTGGTGCGACGGGATTGGTGCGGACCCTGAGTAGAATCTCTGTCTCCTGCCCCACTCCCGTCCATCAACCCTGTCGACGTGGACATCCTCGTTCGCTTTTGCCAGCTCGGCTCAAATCACGACC